TGAAGGATTTTTAGGCAACTGGTTTTTCTTTTTTGTTATATGATTGTTTGCCAAGAGATTATTCAAATTGCAGGTTGTTGTGAGGGATTTTTGGGCAACTGGGTTTTAGTGAACCGAGCTGGTTCGATGGAACCTATTTGCTGGGTTACATCGAACCCAAATCTGCTGGATTCGGTGGAACCTAGGCTGGGTTCCGTCGAACCCAACTCTACTTTTTTTTTTTTGTTATATATTTGTTTGCCAAGAGATTATCCAAATTGCAAGTTATTGTGAGTAATTTTTGGGATTCTTTTCTTCATATTTTTTAAGTATTGTCTAAATGATTTCAATCTTGAAAATGGAAATAACATCGTCAATAGAAAGAACAGAAGCAATAACCGATGGGCAAAGAAGCAATTCTTAGTGGTGATGTGGGACTCATTTGGACGGATTTGATGCGTTTTGGCCACGATAACATGATATGGCAAAAGTTTTGTGCATATCATCACTTTTTTAAATTTTGCTTTCCACATCATAAAAAAAAAAAAAAAAATACCACATAGGTAGAGTTAACGGCCCAAATTAACAGAAAGATTAACGGAGTGCATTTCGTATTGTTGAGGGATCAAAAAAGTGCAAAAATTTGTTGAGGGACCTAAAATGTGCATTTTGTAAAGTTGAGAGACCAAATTTAGCATTTAACCAAAAAAAAGAGTTAAATCAATCAATAAAAATGAATAGTCCAACTCTTAATGTACTTAAAAAATATAAATTTAATGATCAAATATTTCTAAATTAGTTTGTATGACCTTAAAATCCATTTATCTTTAAAAAAGTTTAAGAATATACACTTACAGTTACAATAGTCTCTTTTTTTTTTTTTATCCTTTCAGTGTCTCATTCCAAGACTTATATAATGTACCAAACTTACAAAAATACCTTTTATGTCCTAATATAACTAAGTTTTTTAACTTAAAATTCACTCTAAATTAATTGTCATTTATTTACTTTTCATGATAAGCAATTTTTTTCTTATTTTATTTTAAAATAAAAAATAATAATTACTTAATCATAAATATATGAAACGCAAATTAAAATACAAACTTTTTTATATAAAAATATAAATTATACTACTTTTTATATAAAACAATAAACTTCAATATTTCCAAAAAGGCATCAATAAAGAAATCCTTAAGAGGAAGAATTACACTCAATGAGGATTAAATATTTGGACAGGAAAAAGACCTGACCGAGAAGAAATATGCCCAATTGCCTAAATTGCAAGATACACGCCTTAAAAGAGCGTGGTGATGGTTTAATGACACTGTACGTGGCAACATCCCATTAGTTGTGAGTGGAATATGAGAAGAAATTGAGTGGGGGCCTAAGGAGAGAGAAAAAGAAATAGAAATCCTCAAACAAAACTTCAATGGTATTAGGCATTGACTTGCATTGTCCCATGGAGTCTCTGACCAGGCTAGCCTTGTTTAGAATATCTAATCGGATTGGATTTTTTTCATCTTTATAATTGCAAAAAAATAAAATAAAAACTTAGTTAATTAAATTGGTTTAAAATTTTTATTTATTAATCAAAGTAAATTAAAAATATATATTAGTCTCTTAAAAAATTAGAATTTTTTTAAATTACTTATTTTATTTAATTAAAATTTAATTTTAAATTTGAAAATTAATTAATTTTTAAATTTTAAATTAAAATTTTAATTTTTAAACATAAATTAAAACTCTAATTATTTTGAAAAATTAAAATAGATATATATATTAATTTTTTA